TAAAAATTCCTCAAATTTGGCCTCATTTGACATTTGACCCCATTTTACTCCGTAATGGTAAATCACTATATAATTTAATTACTCATGTGCTTAGAACAATCCTGCAATACAATGATTTATATACCATTGTTGTATCTTACTTAAATTTCAAGTGATGATTGATTTTCCTACCCTACCCCAATTAATTTAACTGATACTCCCATACGCTTATCATATCCATCATAATTCTCACAAACTGTAAAAATTAGTCACAATTGACCATTTAACAATTGTAATATAGATGTGATTTACCAATTATACCCTAAAAGTATGTTGTTAGCTCAAATTCTCTACATAGATAAACTTTATGGATTAAATTTTCTGAAAATTTCTCAAATATGACCTCATTTGACCCTTGACCCCATTTTACTTGGACATGGTTCAGTATTACATAATTTTTATTACATATGGTCATACTGCAAGTGAGTAACCCCAACATCATAGTAGCAGGTTTCTAAATGACACGTTTGGGGAACACGTTTGATCACATCATGAAGTACATTCACAGGTGAAGGACCATATTAGAACCTCTTTTAAACAAGTAAGAACCAAGAGACCGAATTTGACTTGCGTCTCCGAATGTGACTCCTACACTGTATGTTAGCATGTGAAAGAGTACGTAACAAACCAGCCATATAAATGTTAAAAAGAACAGGCGACAGCATACTCCCTTGTCTAGTTCTACGGGAAATGCTGAAGGCTTCACTAGATAATCCCTTTCATCTCACAGTAGCTTTTAGAGAATCCTAGAGCTTTTTTAGATACGACCAATATGCGTCGTGTAAAGCATTTCTCTTCATCTAGACTGCACATATACACAGGCGAGAGTTTGTTAGTAAAATCACAAATAAATTCATTTAAAAAAACACAAGCAAATGTATCTCCTTTGCTAGACTGGAAGCGAAATTGATTTCCCACAATACCACTATTCACATAGAAAAAATAATTAACACGATCATCTTTGAGAGAGTTGTGCTGAGCGTAACAGGCCGAGGGTTTTCGACGAGGTTAGTATTCAAGGTTGGCTTTTTAAGAGCAGGGACAATGACTTCTTGTGCGAAATCTGTAGAAAAAACAAGTAGCACAGAGTACAAGTCATAATTGTTACTAAGTAGGTGCATAGAGAGTCGAATTTTGTAAATAATAAATGTTATGTTGTGATACGATAAATTCCTGGCGGGCATTGCTTTTCATTCTTGTACAGACAAATATGTGTCTTTATGCATATAGCCGTCACCTGCGTCTGTTGTCGCCGTCGTCGCCATGGACTTTCACCGATAAAACGATAGGTGAAAAATCATTGATGGCCATTATGCTGTTAAGCATTATGTAGCATTAGGTAAAATTGAAGAAAACCCTATAGTGGCCATTAAAGGAAAATCATGCCTCTTACTCAAACGTACAGAAAAGTAACATAGGACTAAGATATAGCTTCAATTGGAAAACCTGTTATATTATATTAGTTAACATTTCTGGAAATTATATAATTTATGGTTAAAATTAAACATTTCACGTGCACATATCGACATTTTCCAGGTGTGACTTTGACATTCATGAGCTTGAAGACCTTTGCTGGTCACATATTGTGAATATTCATGATATTTTTATTTAATTTTTAAAAATTGATGGTCATTAACCCTACAGTATTTGGGCATTTCATAGTAACAATTAAAGATAAAAGCATGTCACTTACTCTTCTTAAACTTACAAGAAAGAAACAAAGGACTAAAATGCAGCCTGAGTTGGAAAAGCAGTATAATTGGCTTCTATATCTGTTGGACAATTTTTGTGAAATTTTTATCTTTAGTGGTTACAAAATGTTGAATTTGACCGAAAATTTCAAACTTTCTCTGGGAAGCTGTAATTTTGCAGCGTGATAGCTACACCATCACAGTTTATCATTTCATTAAAAGGGAAACAGCAGATGCCCTTTTCAGGACACACAGGAGAGTTGAACAGCTATACCCACCAAATCCAAGACGCATTACCCTGGGTAACATATTTTGCACAAACTAATGAAAGTCTAATGGAATGTTTTCAGTTTTTGTTTAAATCATAAGGGGATGTTGTCTCAGTGCTTTAAAACTGGTTTTGAAGAATTCAATCCACATTCCATAATTAATAAAAATGGTGAATATGCGGACTCGGTAACGTTAGAGACGCGGAAACAAAAACTTTTAATCATGTAAATAATAGCAATATTTTTGCTATTATCCACACACACTTCAATCACGAGGGGGACATCACTCTCACATGCTTTTAAATTGGAATTGACAAACACAGATGAATAATGCACCATATTTTGTTTACTGTAACTCTGTTACATAAGAACACACTGAACAAAATTGATCTAAAGCATGTTCCAGTTTGTAGTTTTTCTATCAGAATTATTATTATTTTTTATTATTTTAACACAATAAAGTTCAGTTAAATACAAAATTTAACAAAATGAAGTCCAGTGTAACACAAAGTTCAGTATTATAACATTTTTTCTGACATCTATGGACCACTGGTGATATCTGCACTGTGCTCACCAAGGCATCCACTCTTGGGATTCTGAAAAAAAAATCATACAAAGTTTACTCTGATAACGAACAATGGGTAACCTAAGATTACAAACAGTTAATTTCCTATTCAAACAAAGTACAGTGCATTATGAGTGGCAAACACGCATTACTGGGACACATTTTCTTCACCCATTTTCGTTGCTTCATTGCGTCTCTGTAGACTGTACGTTAGTATTGCAAGTAGTCCATTATTGCTGATTTTACAGACGGTTAAATTTTAAACGCACTGAATACAGTGTAGCAGCTTAATTTAAGACAGAACTAAAAAAAACGTCATTCAATTTCGATTATTGAGTTTGCGAGAACAAGAGAACATGAATACGGTGTCACCGCGTTACCATGTTCAATATAAACTTTAGTCCGCCATGTGACACAGACGCAAAAAGAAAGTTCAGACAAAGTCGCCCTACTTATCGAATTGTAATAATCAATCGGTACACATATATGTTGAAACAATTGAAGAAAAATTAAACGAAACTCAATATTTCTCACCTTCATACAAAGAAGATTCCTATAAACAGCCCTGTGGCGGTTAAATCGAAGGAATTACACCTGTGCCCTGCATCCGATCTCGAAAGCGTCACTGCATTACATGTTATCAGAATGGGACACGCGCCAGTTTGAGCTGGTTTTCCAGTGTCCAAAAGAAGACATTCGTGTGTAAGACGTCATCAGTTAGTGAGTATGGAAGAAGATCGCTATCGATGTATAATTTTCACGCGGCATTTTAAAGTCGTCTGATAAAAATCGATCTCTGAAGTTTCAGCGTACCGAACGTTACATTGGGACGCGGTGTAGCAAAATCGACCTTGTTGAGCAAGAAATGTGAAATTCTTAAGAAAACTGATATCATCATGGACTTCGTGACACAAACTAACCGACAGACTACTTTGGACGATTAAAGAGTTTTAATACGGAAAGATAGGATTAGATGAAATTTTCATTGGGGTGGGACACCGCATGTAACGTAAGTTACGCTAATTTTGTGATCATTTTTCAGTGACTTCAAATAAATTTTTATTTAAATAACCATTTGCACATTCTGTTTATTATATCTTCTTGCAGTAGGTGTATTTGTTGCTTCAATAATCCATTCAAACCTTAAACAAACTGTTCCTAAATAGAGGTAGGGTCGAAATTCCACAAAAAAAGGACGCCATTTTGAGGGTAATTTCGATATATTTTCTGCTTTTTCTCTTATTTTGCTTTAATAACAGCATCCTCCTTGCTCATGCAGCTTCTTTGATTTGTTATTGAAACATACACAACGATGTCATGAGAATTTGGTTGGCTATCTAAATTTAAATTACATTCTTGTTATGGCCCCCCAGCAGTGCACCACTAGCAAAGAATGACATTACAAGTACATGTACCTGTAAATTTACAGGAAATAGAGGCTGTAGGATGCAGTTCTGTTCATGTTTGTGGTGCTTTCCATTTCATTGGTTGGTTTTATGGAAGAAAGCGTCGTGACGTAGGGCATAGACCATTCGATCCCATTTGCAAGTGCAATATTCCAGGACAAATCTCACTTTGACAATGTTTCCTAAACCCTATATCCGCCTGGTACTAATGTGGACTTTCATAAACAAAAGCAACATTCCGTTAACAAACCAACCTGCCAAAGGGCCTGATATTAACCAAATTACACATTTGGGGGACGGATTGGAGAATGCTGTATTCAGATGAATCCCCCGCTCAGAAAATTAACAACAGACGAGACAATATTTGACCCTGCAGTGGAACAGAATCCCCCAGCAAAGATTGGAGGCACTAGTGAACAGCATACCCTGTCGCGTAAGGGGCCTTGTCGTAAACGTGGGGTCATACCTCCTTTGATACATGTATTAATAATTGTGTGCTATAGTCTTAATAAAGAGATGTGCGTGGAGTTGATTGTAACTTTCCATGGATAATTATGAGCGGTTTTGTTTTAACAGATATTCAAAAGAGCTTATTGAAAGCCCCATTTAACCCACAGGAGTTGTGCAATATAGATGTGTTGTTTGGTTCTGTTGCATGTTCATTGGTTAGAAATTTAGTAGCTGCAATGATGCAACTGTTCGATAAAGAAAAGGTGACCTTTGGTACAAAATCCATACATTTCACAAAGTGTGACAACAAATTTGAGCAACAAAGTAGTGCACAACATCATAAGCTGTGATGCACGTGGAGCCAATTGCAATAATTAGAGTACATGGTAGAGTAACGTCCAAAAAGTTAGAACCAAAACTAAAGTTGGAATTGAACAATTCGCAGTGATATGTATATCAGAATATAATTATTTTTCCAATATTCAAGAGTTGGTATCAATGTTTTAAAAACTTGCATTACATATAGAACATATTCAAACTAATATCAAATAAATAAAATGCCGTTTCTTTCATTTCAAAGGAGAAGATCGTTGGTTGTGTACCCTCTTGCTTCAAAACGGCCGGAGCATAAAATACTGTGCGGCCTCTGATGCTTGGACCTATGCGCCGGAAACCTTCTCAGAATTCTACAACCAACGGCGACGCTGGAGTGTGTCAACCATTGCCAACTTGTACGACTTGATATCAAACGGCTGGCAAACGTCCACAATAAACGATAACATATCGTTTGGTTTTATCGTGTACCAAGCTCTTCTTCTAGTATCATCTTTGCTTGGCCCTGCAACAGTTCTAATGGCAATTTCAACCTCTATTACTACCCTGCTGATACCAAGCCTGAGCAATGACACTGCAGGATCATTTGTAGCAAACGGAATCATCATCCTCCCGATTATATTTTACATCTGGGTCTCGTTCACACAAACAAAAAATGTACAGCTGAAAGTAGCAACGATTCTCAGCGGCATTTATGCACTTCTCATGATAGCCACACTCGTTGGGATAATAGTTGAAGTAGGTACAAACATTGGGAGTATGTCATCCATTATCTTTTTGACCCTGGTAGCAGTTTTTGTTACAACGGCACTTCTACACCCAAAAGAGCTATACTGTGTTTTGTACGGCCTTTTTTACTTCATAGCCGTCCCATCCATGTACGTGTTTTTAGCAATTTATTCACTTTCCAATCTCAACGACGTGTCATGGGGAACAAGAGAAGCCCCAAAGCATGTGCATGATAATGAAGGAGACAGTACTGCTAGGAAAGTTACTAAAGGCAGTGAAGATGAATTTAACTGCGGTTCGTTTTTTGGCTGTATATGTCGAAGAAAAAACGACGAAAGCCACAACAAAAACATTACCCAAAGGGAAAGTTTATTTTTGCCACTGCAAGAACGGCGCGTTACTGAGGGAGATGAAGAGTGCCCAAAATCTTCAGGTCCTACAACTGCCATGACAGTAGATAAACAGATGCTTTCAGGGGCTAGTAACTCGAATATGGCGGCAAATCCCCAAGAACTAAGTGGGTCAAAGATAAAAAAGAATGAAAACAATACAGTGATAGAACAACAAAATAATGAGCAAGCTCCGACTGAAATAAAAAACGAAAACAATCAATGTGAATCAAACAAAAGTGCAGTTTCACAAAATGTTTTGCAACTTGAAACACCCAAAGCAACGGGACCGGCGGCAACTTCCCAAAACAGCAGTACAACGGAGGAACAACAAAATGGCTGCGATCCCACCAACAATGAAAACAAACATGCACTACAAAGATGGACACGTAAGTATATATCTCCGTAAAATGCATTTGAGACAGATGGTAGAAAAATACATCCAAAATATTAATAGAACCAAGTATGTACAATACAAATAACAAATAATAATAATAATACATAAATGCGTAAATCATCACTAACTATCTTAATTTCTTGAACGATTTGTATAGTTCACGTGTATGGGAGATATACTTTGAGCAAAAATGTTCTTTAGCTTGGTAGTTGGATCTACTCACATTAGTCTGATGAAGGCCTTCGACCAGGTTGGCCGTAAGCTAGTGCGAAAATTATTTCAGCTTGTGTTTGATAATTCTTATGCATGAGATATACTTTGATCTGGAGTTGAAAATTGTAATGCACAACAACCCGTTTCTTCAACCATCAAAATTTGCAACGAAGAGCATTTTTTTGTGTGTGCCGTAAATGATCCCTGAGATGACCAAAAAAGTATGTGTGTGAAGTCCAAAAGTTTAAAGGGATTATTACATCTTTGAAGGTCTACGTGTGTTAAGCCTCTCTTCTGGCCCCGTATGTACAAAACATCTTAAGTATATTTTTTTAAGAATTTCTGTAAGAATTTCCTTAAGTGATCATCCTTAACATAAGTGGTATGCATAAAGCATCTTAAGATGAGAATTTCCCCAAATATCTCCTTAACTTTAAGGTACCTCATTGGGTCTCTTAAGTGGAAATTTTGTCCTTAGATTCAGTGACTGTACAACACAGTGGCATTCATTTATGCTAGTCAAAGCTGTGCAGCAACATTATTTCTCTATGGCTCTTATTCCCAGCGGGCAAAATATGTTGTTTTAACATTGAAACAACGTTGAACCATAATGTTGATAAGACGTTGGATAAACATTGGATTTGAAAGTTGACTCAACCTCAGATAACAACGTTGTATCAACGTCAGATAACAACATTGTATCAACCCCAGTTGTTAGACAACATTCTTGCATGAAAAGACATTGAAATGACCTGAGGGTAGGG